GTCTGGTGTATCTTTTAGGATTGTTGTGCCAATTGTGGTTCTGCAAGATGATACATAGAAGTCTCATTGCTTTCATGGGTACCAGTGATTGAAAGGATTGACTCTGGTCCAGGGGACAGCCTTACCTTCATGTTAAGGACCCACATGTGCAAGTTACAGGTCTGTCCCATGGATTCTGCTTCTTATGAAGTCCAAGATGACTGCAGGATTAAGAGTGATTTATCCCTGTGCCTTTAGTCTCTAACTAAAATGAAGTAAGTTAGACAAACACTCCTTGGGTAATTAACATGTGCAGAAGGAATCAGGTGACCCCCAAATAATGGAGACAGGGAGAGTGAAGGTAGAGAGTATTTTTTCTTTTGACTGCATTAACTTTTTCAAATGAGAAAGTAAGATTTTTGTTTGTTTGCTTGATGGCTGTTTTGAAATTCCCATTTCAATATAATTTTATGTTGTGATCGGGGTACTTTGGCTTTGTCCAATAGTTCACTTGCCTGTGTCATTTGGATAATACCTATCAACTGATCAGCTCTTGAAGTATTGGTGTTGAACACTACAGGGTATTTCAGGTTTATTCTATAGATAATCTAGCCTAATCATAGAATCAGGCTTTTATCCTAATAACTCACTTTGCAGAATGATGTTCAAAATAAGATCTGTGAACTATGAGTATTTCTTGGCAATGAAATTGTTTTGCTTATATGTCCTCTTGGCAAACACATCACAGACAAACACACAGCTATAATTTTTTAATGTAACCATCTGTATCTAAATTTGGCTAAACATTACTTCTCGTTGATGTGTCCCTTAATACCTATCAACCACTACCTTTCATCTAGTCCCCACCCACTGCACTAAGAAAAAAATCTGGATTCACTATCACCATCCATGTGCATAATTTTGTCTCCACAGTACAAATATCAGTAGGGTCAGAGGTTGATATTGCACCTGTGTCATGTGTTTGACATTCAAAACATGCTATGTGCAGTTCTCACCTTCACATTTAGGACATCCTTATTTCCAAAGTTACTTAAGGCTATAGCCTGCCCCATCTCTACGTCCCAAAGGTGCACTGTAATATACTTACAGGGCAGATCTGATTCCCTAATCAGAGTTAACATTGTTTCATAAGACCTCTAGACACTTAAGTGCTATTAATAATATTAATATAGCTCTAGTTCCTTAACAAATCTAAGACTTTTATTGCAGCATATTTTCCTGTAAATTTTCATAGATTTTGTCTTTGAAGAGGTTGGTTACTTTCACTAAATTATGAAATTTGGATACATTGCATAGCTAGAGGATTCCTTTATAGTTTTTCCATGATCACTGGTACAGTGACAATGGTGTTTTATTTTTGTTGACTTATGATAGAGATATAAAGTAGTATGCATGGATCTTTTCATTGTCGCAATTTATTGAATAATAATAACTTATAATGTGACATAGTGATTATTTACAGAAGATTGCTAAGTATTTACCTGTGTTAGTTTGAATAAGAAAGACCACGAGTGGCTTACACATATTAGTGCTTAGTAACTAGGGAGTTACACTATTGGAAAATATTAGAAGGATTTGAAGGTATGGCCTCACTGGAGTAGGGCTGGCATTGTTGGAGGAAGCATCTCACTGAGGATGAGCTTTGAGATTTCAAACGCTCATGACAGTCCCATGTTCTCTTTCTCTGCCTATGGATCAAGCATACTGTTCCAGGCTACTGCTTCAGCATCTGCCTGCATACCACCATGCTTCCAGCCATGATGATAATAGACTAAACCTTTGAAACTTTAAGCAAGCTTAAATGTTTTCTGTTGTAAGATTTCTTGGTCATGGTGTCTCTTCACAGCAATAGAACAGTGACTAAGAAACCACCTTTCCTAGAAAGTCGGGGCTAGATGAATATATATTCTTTTATTCCAATATTAGTTACTAATGTCTTAATTAGGGTTTCTCCTCCTGAAATAAAACACAATAACCAAAATCAGCTTCTGGAAAAAAAGGGTTTCTTTCTCTTAACGTGTCTACATCACAGCTCATTGTCGAAAGCAGTGTGGGCAGGAACTTAAACAGTTAGGAACATATTCTTTTATTCCAATATTAGTTACTAAAGTCTTAATTAGGATTTCTCCTCCTGCAATAAAACACAATAACCAAAATCAGCTTGTGGAAAAAATGGGTTTCTTTCTCTTACATGTCTCCATCACAGCTCATTGTTGAAAGCAGTCAGGGCAGGAACTCAAACAGTTAGGAAGCTACAGGCAGGTTCTGATGAAGAAGCCATGAAGGAACACAGCTTACTGGCTTGGTCCTCATGACTGTCTGAGCCTGCTTTCTTAATCAACTTTAATCAACTCGGGACCCACAGCCCAAAGATGGCATTGCCCACAGTGAACTATGACCTGTCATATCAATCATCAACCAAGAAAATGTGTTACAGGCTTTCCCAATTAACCAATTTTGGGGGGCATTTTCTTAATTGAGGTTCCCTAGCCAGTAAACCATCTGTCTTTATATGTTGTCTTGTTCTTCCAATAGATCCACTATTATTTTTAAATTATTCCAACATCTGACATGAGTTTTGTTCCTAAGACAGAAATACTAAGATAGAAAAACATTCTCAAAATAACATTTTGAAAAGAAACTTGTACTCACAGTACCAAGTGACATGAACTTTGAGCAGCTGTGATGAAACAGCATCCTGAATAAGCATGTATTATAAATACTAGCAGTAAGCAAAGCCAGTGATCAGGTGGATTTCATTCAGGACTTTGGACAGAACCCACATTCCATGGTTCAAGCAGATTGAACCATGGCTCAAGAGTCTTGGAAATCCAGTTTTTACATAATAAATGAGTTGCCGATTTACAATGATTTCTCTAGGAAGTGAAGATTCTTCAGGAACAGTTGGCTGAGTTTTGCTTCGAGATGCCCCTCTGAAATAAACTTATTAATTTGCATTCTAAATGTATTATAAATTGATTGAAACTGGGGGAAAAAGAGCCTTCTACATTCCACATGTTTTTCATTTGGGTTCTGAGCAGGTTTTTCAACATTACACATTTATATGTGGGAATAGAAAATACTTTTTCAGGTTTATATTTAGACCTTTTTAAAAAAGAACATTTTTTCAATTTAAGGAAATTGGCTATAGTTATTAAACAAAAACATTTTCCTACTTTAATTTCTGGATGTTTTGCCCTAGCAAAAAGTACTTCTGTCAATTAATGCTATGAGTAAATTATTATCAATCATATAAACTGTTTCCTCATTCAGAGAGTTCATTCATCCAAATCTGAGGGTACATTGATCTTATATTTTAATCATTACCCATAATTATGCTCATTGCTTAATAGATTCTCTTAACTTACATAATCTCTTTAGTGTGCTCTTCTTTAATATTCTATCATAATTAACAAAATCTATGTTATTTTTTTTATTAAGAAAACCTTTTAAAATTAACCCAGTCTATTTCTCTAATATGTCTGTGATTTTATTTATGTAATGTTATTTAATTAGGCTCTTTAAGAAACAAAACTAGAAGGCAAATTTGCTCTATTCTCATGAATAACAACTGTCACACTTCCTCTTGCTGAATGGCTTGTTTATCATGTAATGAAACCTGTCAACATGCCCAAATTCCTCTAGGGTTTTATGCTGTATTATTAGCTGTGTACTTTTGAAGCTGTCCTAAAGTACAAAATTTTATAAATATTTATTGCTTTTTGGGTTGTTTTCTTTAAACATCAATCTTTAAAAGTAATTTCGTGTAGAAGTATAAAATTGTATTTTACTTAGTATTATTGCTTTTATACATTTTTATCACCATAATTTTCAAGTAATATCTTTATCCATCTTGTATGATTTTTATATTATTGTTTGTTTTGTTTTTGAGACTACATCTTGCTCTAGCAGCCTCAAACTCATCAGGCCCACCCCTCAGCTTGCACCATACCAACTTCATGACCTCTCCTATGTTGTTTAGAAATATGCTCCTCCAGAAGGTGGATAGATGAATTTATTGCTGGTGTGTGAATTTGTCTTTTAATGTTTAGATCTAGCAATTCAGTTCAGCTCATCATTGAGGTTTTTAAATTCATCATAGCAATTTCCCCCTTCAGTGTACCATTCTGTATTTATATAACAGCTCCAATAGTTTTAGTTGCATAATGTTTTCTATCATTCCTCTTTTCTTCTTGCTTCTTTTTACTTGTTATATCCTAGTCATAGAACATGTTTACCTACCAGTGTCTAAAATTAATCGGCATTCATAGCTCCTTACTTTCATCAACCAGAGTGACAGCTGAGTTTTTGTCATGTTCTAGGACTGAGGGCACAGTGAAGCATGTGCAAGATCCCAGGTTCAATCCTCAGCACCAAAGTAAAGAAAAATAGATCATACTTGCTTTCTTTAATCTTTTTCCTGTCTTACCACTAACCTTTAGCTAAACAGAAGTTAGGTACCTTTTAGTTTTACATGTGGTCTAAAACTGACATGTTTTAGAAGGAATTTCTATACCATCCCAAGCTATACTTTTAGATCCTCTCTTTCTTTCTTTCTTTCTTTCTTTCTTTCTTTCTTTCTTTCTTTCTTTCTTTCTTTCTTTTTGTTTCTTTCTTCCTTCCTTTTGCTCATTTTTTTTCTTCCTTGTGATCATGTTGTTTCTCTAGTTCTTTGTTCTCAAGTTCTTCCTGGAATTTATGCGAATCTAAGAATCTGAGAACTGCTATCAGTCGGTTGGAGATGGGCTTTTGGGTTAAAATATAAATGTCTCCTTTCTTGATATCTATTTACTTTCTTATACTTGACTGAGAGAAAGAGAGAGAGAGAGAGAGAGAGAGAGAGAGAGAGAGAGAGAGAGAGAGAGAGAGAGAGAGAGAATGCACAATGTTTCAATGTTTCTATCATTCTTCTGAGATTTCTCAATGCCTAGGTCTTGGATTGCCAACCCACCTCTCATAATACACCTATAGCTCACAAGTCTGTATGTGATTTCCTACAGTATTCAAAGGCAGACAGGCATCCTGTGACTGCACTGGAGAAAATAATGGAGTCAAGTTTTTCAAGTTCCCAGTCATTCCCCGAGCTCCCTTCTCCTGACAGAGGAAGCCAGCCTGTCAAGCACCACAGGTACTGTTAACTAATCATGGTACAAGTGGGTAAGTTCATGTTAGAAATAGACATATGTCAGGGAATGGCAACCGGACCCACAAGTCCAATAAAGGTGATTGTTCTTGCTTCTATGTAACTAAGGGTATACATGGAGGTAATGTTCAGGGAATCCACAGCCACAAAACAAATTCCTCAGTTTCTCTCAACAGCATTACTCTCTCTGCAAAGGCATAAAGGAACTGTTAGCTTTCAGCAGAGATGCAGGCATGGACCAGTGAATGAAGCAATTGTAATTTTAAAAACTATTAAAAGTGTGATTTTTCCCCTTAGTCTTCCTCATCACTGGTTGCAATGTCTAGTTCTTCTCTAGGCAGCTGAAGTGATATGCAGCAAATGTTCCAAATGTTCCTCACAAAAGAAAAGTTTCCAGAGGCAAATCCTGAACAGTAACCTCTTTAGGTCTGTTATCAGAGGAGTGCCATCCTTTGCGTGTGTGTGATCTAATCATATAAACTATTGTTTGGAGGTGAAGGCCAGCTACAAAGTCATTTGATGCATCACAGGAAATTCTCAAGCTGGGCATGTTCTCCAGCATCTTTTCTTCCATATGGTTGTGTGTTATGCATGAAGAATTTATTTTTTAAAAAAATTGATAATATACAGTCCAAATCAAAGGATGGATTTGGAATTAATACTAGATTAGACATTGTCTTTGTATGTACTAAAATGAATATCTTTAATCTGTAAATTGCCCAATGACTGAACATTCCTTTTCTTAGTTTTAAGCAGATTTTTAATATTTTCAAATCATATATATGCATGTTATTTATCACACACACATATATATACATATATATATATATGTAACTTTTAAAAGCTGTACCAATTGTTTCCAGCATGATGATATCTAGCTAGATGTTTACTTTGTACATTAGCAAGACAGAAATGCACAATAAAAGAACTTGTGTCCTACTCTCCTTCCCCAAAGGCTTTACTTTCTGGCTGCATTTGCTAAGCAATATTCAGTTATTCTAACACTGAACACACTGGACCCCAGCAGCTGATGTTGATATTTATTACTGCACCTCTTTAGTAGATAGACTTTAGGGTACCAAGTATTTGACAAAGAAAACAATTTCAGTATCTTTGATTTAGTATTGAAATGGTTTGGCCTGTGGGTGATTGAATCAGTTATTATTGGCAAGTCTGTGCTATATCATAGCTTGCATTTATAGTATTCCTGTTAAAACAGCCATTTACTGGACTTTGGGAGCCCATTCCACATAGAGGGTTACTCTCTCAGCCTAGACACATGTGGGAGGGCCTAGGCCCTGTTCCAAATGATATGACAAACTTTGAAAATCCCCCATGGAAGGCCTCACCCTCCCTGGGGTGAGAAAGGGAATGGGATAGGGGTTGGTGGAGACAGGGGAGGAGGGGAGGGAGAGAGAATTGGGATTGACATGTAAACCAAGCTTCTAATTTAAATTTTAAAAATCTGTGTGACCAGTGCTTCCACTCGGAGCCAAGGTGTTGTTCAGGCCCAAGCTGTGCCGAAAGCCATGTCTGGGTCTGTGGTTCAGCTGCAGCTAGGGTCTGTGTTGATGTCACCATTGCACCAGATGGCAGTGTGGGCCATTCAAATCAGCCTGGATCCAGTGGCAGTGTGGCTCTTGGACACTAACATAGCCCCAGACCTCGGGCATCCACCTGGCAAGAAGTAAAGGTGTTGGAAATCAGAAATAAACTTTGTTTATCTATAAAATAAAACCAGACATTTACTTCACTTGACCTCATGGAAGCTGCCTTAATTAGGGAAGTAGAGTACAAAATTGCTAGCCTTTTCAGAGGCAAATAGTTTCTCCAAAACGGTATCTTCCAATGCTTATTCTAAAGTGTATTATAGTTTACTATAGACAGGTTAGTTTGTACTCTGTCAAGTAAAATAGTATAATATTACTTTGCAACATATTATGGAAAAATAATTTTGATTTTGAGATTTATTTTTTAAACGATGGCTTCTGCCATGATGGAACTGCAGAGCCACAGTTAGTTTTTGTCAGTCACACATTCTTAGCTTTAATCTTGGTTTCTAGAACTCCAAGATTAAGTGGGGGTGTTTTTAAAGACCCTTCCTTTTTGTGCTTTGCTTCGTTTTGCTTGGTTTTGTGGGTTCAATGACATAGTAGTATTTGTTGGCATAGCTGTGTGCTCATAGATGGGGAAGGGTTGATTTATGAAGTGCTTTTAGACTTAAAATTATAGTTTAATACATCATAGCTTTTGTTTTTTAAAACATGCAATAGACTAAACAGTTTTATGATTGATAACCTGTATACTGATTTATATATCCTTCCAACTGCTCCATAATTTCCTGAATGCCCCTGGGTTAGAAGGCCTGAATCTCTGATTGATCAATAGGTCTACAACTGCTTTTGAAGATGGGTCACTACTTCACACTGGTAGACCTTGTTTTGACAGCTCAGCAAGCTATGAATAATTAATTCCTTGTTGTGTACTGAAAATATGACTCCCTTGGATGCCTTACTTATGAAACAAAGCTACTAATCCAAAAGTGTTATTTCTAATGTTTAGTAAAAACCAAACCTACGTGATGAAAGAAAAAAAACTATTGAGGCATGTCATTTTATTGTATTACATTTTGTCAGTCTAACTTTCTCACACTGTCATCAGTACAGATTTACAACAGTGATGGATCCAGGACACCCAGTGATATAAATAAGCCTTTGCATTGCCATTTCTGGCACAGGAAAGCATAGAACACATGATGCTGTGTATCTCACATATGTTGACATCACACAGGGCACTTAGCGTGCTTGAGCTGTTTCATTTCTGGTGTGAGCCCACAAACAATCTTGCTTTGTCTTATCTCCTCCCCATTCTCACTCAAGTCACTTTCTCTGCAAAACCTCATGTGACTCCCCTGTCCTCTGGCTTCTGGTGTATCAGAGGTAATGGTGAGGGATGAAAATACTGGAAAAATTAGGTCATAGTTGTTTCCTGCCTCAGTTATGCCAAACTCTGGTCTTCTGGAGCATAGAGCCTGTGATCTTACTTGATCCTTCTGATACTGTTGTGCCCAAATTCTGAACCCCCAAATCACCAAGAGGCCCATTTTGATGCAAAAGCAGAGTCTTTTATTGTAGATGTTAAACGAGTTAACCCCAATAGCTTGGGCCCTTCACCCTGCCACCATGGCTGGAGAAAGACCCCTAGCAACCTCAAGGCAGGGATCTTTAAGGGTAGCATAAGGGGAGTATCTAGGGATATGAAACAGTCTCAGCATTGGTGTGCTTCTAAGTTTGGACGACCTGCCCTGTATTGATTGGTCAACTGATTGTTATGGCCCATAGGCCCTACCAGGGCAGTTGCTATGCTCTGCACATCACTGTTGTGCACTTGTCCGTAAAGCACACCCAGAGCCATAAAGCACATCCCTACCAGCTAACTTCTGATTGGTTCCTTGCCATGAGGAGGGCATCTGACCCCTAGTGACCAGGACAGGAGCTGCAAGGTCATGCAAGCACATGTTAGCCTGTAATGGCTGCTAAAATGGGGGACTGGTCATTACAATACTGGCTTCATTCTGGAAAATGTTCCCTCCCTCTCCTCCACAGTAATGGCTTCCTACTGTTAGAGGCCTGAGGTGCCGCAATGCGTTGTACAGCTTCATCTCGTTTCCTCCCAAGTAATGACCACTAGCCATGTCTCTTCGAATCTCCTCAATTGATCCAAGTTAAAGAGGCTTTTATTTCCCTGCAGCATTCTGACACAATTGCCTTCCCTAATAGCATGCCTCTAGCAGCACCGAGGTTTGAGATTTACATCCAGATGAAGCCCACTCTGGTGCCAAAGACCCCAAACCCTAGATCTTAATTCATATAGGAGTAGACAGAAGTAGAGGGAGAGAAACAGGGTCACTGTTCAAGAGCTCCTTAAAGATGTTGGTTTAGACATTGAGTATGATGACCAAGATATTAAGAGTTTTGGGAATACAACCTACAGCAGATGGCACAGCTAACAACTAAAATACCATGACTGATGTGATTTGCTGTCTACACAAAAATTCAGGAGTTAGTGTTGACCTGCCACCTTAACAGAACCACCAAGATGGTTGGATACTCAGATATTAACTTTTCAAACTCTGAGTTACAATAATTGCAAAATTTTCCAGGCATGGCAGTGCATGACTTTAATCCCAACACTCAGGAGGCATAGATAAGCAGATCTCTGTGAATTCAAGGCCAGTGTGATCTACACAGGAAGATTCAGGTCAGCCAGAGCTACATAGTGATTCCCTAACAGCCCCCTTTTAAAACTAAACGTATTTTATATTTATAAAATAATAATAATGGTGGTATTGATGGAAAAAAGTGACAAAACCCAAATGGTTACATGATAGGGTATAATTGCTTTGGGAAACTTTCCTCCATGGGTAGGCTGACTTTTGATGTTTTTCATCCTGGCCTATATAGTTGCAGTGATATTTTTAAATGATGTGGGTACAGAGTGACATTTTGAACTCACTATATGCTCATGAAGAACCATTTGGACCACATGACATTATATCTAATGGAACACTTCCAAATCTTTAAACAACTTCAATTTTTCGATTTATCTTCATAGAATCCAGTCCTTTTACCATAGGCTATGTATAAGGCTCACATTATAAGGCCTGGGATATATGTCACTTATGCCCTTTGTCCTTGATGGCCTCTTCAAATGCTCACTTGGGAAGTTTGAATGCCTACACCCAAGAAAATCTAAGCAAGTGCCTGTTAAAAACAAACTCAAATGCAAAACTAGTTTCTGGAGACTGATGAAAATCTGGGACAGTAAACTGAGAATTTGACACATATTTAAAAGAAAGAATGCTAATTAAAGTAAGGCCTGTTTATCCTATCATGAAGAAATGTAAATTTTCCCATAAATCCCCTATGGGCTTCCTATGTTCTTGTCTCATCACTGCCTAATGAAGGCATTTTTATCCCAATTAGAAGACAGCTATTGTGGCTTGGGAAATAAGGGTACAGGGGAATTAGGATTCTGAGGCTCCCTTAAACTCTTTTTGTTTTAGCTAGGAAGCCAGACACGAGGTTTTTTTCACTCTCAGCACCTCCAACAGTAAGTGAATCAAGCAACTTATAATTTTATATGAGTGTGTATTTGACATTCATCACATAGAACTTTAACAATGTGAGGTAAGAATTCAGTGTCTGAGACGTTTGAACCACTTCGTAGAGATTAATTCAATCTTTTTGTTTATGGTTTTGTTTTGTTTCCCCAAATCAGCAGGAGTATTTCTTCTTGCTGCAGCCCAGGACAAAGGAGTGGAATGCTGTATAGGAATACCTTCAGAAGGACACCACCCTCTCCCAGAAGTCGATTGGGTGGCAGTGTAGGACCAGCATATCAGCAACTGGAAGAATCAAGGATCCCAGACCAGGATACGATACCTTGCCAAGGGTAGGTCTTAAATTAAGGGACTTACAAGGGAGACTATTAGAAGTTTGACAATAGGTTAGTATGTACCTGTTTAAAATAAAATAAAATAAAAAGCTTTTGTAGGACCACTAAAGTATCCTTTTATCAGTAATATAACATATATTTAGCTTTCTGACAAGCAGTGCGAAAAAAACCATAAAAAATAACCTATAACATAAACATGACAGCTAGTTTCATGCAGTATTCTTGAATGTGGGGTTTAGGTAAATAGTAAAAGAAGAAGAAGCCTGTGAGGTGCACTCTCACCCTGAACTCTTGGGGAAGGGTCTAGGCCCTGCCCTATATGAAATGACAGACTATGGACACCCCCATGGAGGGCCTCACCCTCCCTGGGGGAATGAGGGGATAATGGGGGGGTTGGGAGGAGGGCACGGGAAGAGGGGAGGGAATGGGAGAGGGACCTGGAACTGACTTGTGAAGCAACCTTGTTTCTTATCTAAATTTAAACTGGAAAATAAAATAAAAAAATAAAAAAAAGAAGAAGAAGAAGCCACAGAGAAACTCTCAGAACTCAGACGTTTTCATTACTTATACTATGGAGAATTCAGGGATTTTCTACACCAGGGCTATGTTCTACAGTACAAACACACCATGTCCTCTGGCAGGCACCAGCATACACAGCTCAAGGTATAATGAGTGGAATACAAGATGGGTTCTAGTCACAACTTTGCTCTTGGTGTCAACCATTCAAGCAAACATTGAATAAGTAACTTATCATAAAGTTTGATCCCTGTCCTTTATGAGTGGTGTCAGTTTCAGAAAGTGCTGTCATCTGAGCTCTAGCTTTGTGTGAGTTTAAGCCTCTCAAAGGGTGTTGGCCAGATAAAAAAAGTATTAAGAACCTGTGTCAACACATGATATTAAAAGAAACAGTTTTTGAAGTTTGACATAGTGATTGTCATAATGATTTTCATAATGCTATCATTAATTGCAAGTGATTGTCGTAATGCTACCATAGTGATTGTCATAATTCTATCATTAATTGCAAGAATCTAGATTTATTCTAGATATTTTCAGAGTCCAGAATCAGGCTCCAGTTATATCTAGCAGTTGACTTTCTGCATGAGCTAGGCTGGGTTTCTAAGCAGTTTTGGTCCAGGTAATTATTTCAGATCATTTGTTTCAATCCTGAGACCATAGCAGCTAGGATGTCCAGCTCAAAGCCTCTGCATTTCTCTTGTCTGCTAGAAATGGAAGAGATGCACTATTGCACTGTCTGATTGAAGGATCTTAGGATACAAATAGCCTGTGGCTATGCTTTGTAATTTTGGAGTGATTCCAAAATGACCATTCCTCCAGATTGAGGGAGTAACAGCAAATTCAGTTTGACAACTAAATGGTTTAAAGAGTGTGATGCAAGTGAATAAGCAGTTGCCATTCCACTAGGCCTTACCAATGACAAGAGTTTTATATTTAGCCTGTACCTATATTGACTCTGTTTATAGCTACTTTGTCAGTAACCAATTGTGATTCACAGGAGTATGTACATGGACACACATCTTCTTTCCCTATAGTGAATGACAGAGTGTGTGAGTGTCTAGAAAAACCATCTTGTATTGTAGTTTATTTTTGCTCTTGGCCATAGTGGCTCTCACCCCAATGTTTCTGATGCAAGGAGGCTCAGATCTTGTAGCAAGTTGCTATTTGAATGACAGATTCACAGACCTTCCAGGGCTCAGAGGTTTTCATTTTCTGACTTGTCTTTTCCCTCCTGGGTCAGCATGGTTGTTATTTTGTGTTGGTTCAGTCACCACCTGGTTGGCAATCATCTCTGTTACTGGCTGGGCACACGCCTTTTCTCTGTGCCATATGCACCCAATGTTGGTAAATATTGACTCTGTAAGTCACTCAGGCCTCAGCACAATGAATGTCAGGAGGGACTCTCATCATTAACTCTTAAAACCAGCTATTGTCTACTCCTGGTGAACTGACTATCTCTCAGGACTGGAAATGGGTTTGGTAATAGAATTTCACAGCTAGCATTCTTCAAATCTGTACTTAGCCTGAAAGGGGAGTGAATCAATTTGCAAGACTCACCAGCCATCTACTCCTATTTACTAGCATGTGGTTGATGTCTGCTAACTAGACTTCATGTATGTGACTTCTTTACTGGGTAGTCAGTTCAACTTGAACACGTCACCTACCCTAGTGCAGCAGGACTTTTAGAATAGATAGCAAATTGAGGCTACCTTTCTCTAACTGGAGCTTGGAGTAGTGCCAGCCCTGGTAATAAGATACTGAATATTGAACTGTTATGTGTCAGAACAATTAACTGATATATTACAAACTAATAAAAAGAAATAGATTCAGAAAAGTCAGGTTAACAGCCTCAAACTGGTCATGATTCATAATATAGTAAATGAGTTCCCATTTCATCTAGCTAGCAACCTGATGCGCCTTGCTTTTTATATTTCCTGAAGGTGTTATTTGTGAACACATCAAGGATAGGAAAGTTTAAATGGCCAGCTCAATGTGGCATTGGTCATCCCATGAGAAAAGAGTGATTGTGTATTAGCTTTCTGACCAAATCAGATACAAAACCAGGAAATGAATGTGCTAAAATCATACCAACAGCTGACAGTGTCAAATGGAATAACTGATTGTATGTATAGTCAGTTCTATATACCTACTATATACCTATACACAACTAAATACCTCAGGAATTGGGTCTAAAGAGTCAACTAGCAATATTAAGACCCTGGAATGACTCCTGGCTTACAACAAACCAAACAGACACTAATTATTACAACCTTTCTTGATACACATGCTCTTTGAGGGATGGCAGGAAATGCAGTCCAAACTGATATAACAGTCAGTGAATAATTTCAGTTTCAAACTGTCAAAGACTTGTTGGAATCCCAAGGATACAGAACTCTGAATAGCTCTATGTCACAATCCCTTCTAGAAATTAAGATTCTACTTAAACATTTGCTGATGTGTCAGAGCTGGAACATCTCATAGCAACCCCAGGAGGAAGTGAGGGTGAACCTTGTCTCTGGTGCAAGAGTATGGCTCAATTGTTTTTAAACCTCACAGCTGTTTGACTTCAACCTCACAGCTGCTTTTTACTTAAACCTCACAGATTCATCATCCCCCAAGTATCCAAGTAACATGAGAGATTCTATTTTTGATTGTTGTGGTCTGAACTCAGGCCTTTATTACACTAAGACTATACTTCCACTGATTTTTACCACCAGCTCCTTTATGTTTTAAGAATGCAGAAAGTTCAAATGAGACTACAATTTGTCTGAGAGTTCAAATTGTGTAATGGTGTTGGTTTCTTATTCAAAATTAAATCAACCATGGAGAACTGTTATTCTTTAGTGACATCATCATGCTATAACAGTTTATAATTCAGTTATTGTCAGTTATGTGTCCAGTAGCTGGCTTGCGGAATGACATGGGACAGTTAATTTCAATTTCTCTATCTCATTTAAGTCCTTAATGCAGTATCAGGCTGAATAGGTGGATATTTGAAGTTTGGCATTAAGTTGCCTTTGTGCTTGGCCATGCCACCTTGCTGACTCATGGCAGCAATTGGTTATAAACATCCTCCAAGGTAGTCAAAATTTTACAAACAGAGTTTATCTACTGGCATCACCATCACATTACAACGTATTATACTCTATTTGTAGATCTACCCTGAAGACATTGATGCAGATACAGTACTATTCCAGTCATATTACTTGGCTCTTTTCTGGATGTAAATATCTGGAGGGCATATTTTATATACATTCATACATTGTGGAAGTATGGTTCCAAAGACTAAACAAAATGGCCCAAGGTTTACTCGTTTTTCTTATTAGAATTGATACATAGATCAGACCTTCAGGATCTGATTTTCTATCATATGAGACACAGGGGTAAGATCCCACAAGGAATTTTCTTATGAATAGCTGTATGAAAAGATGTCATAATATAGTTTACTTTAGGATGTCCCTTCATTAGCCGATTCTGAATTTTATAGTGACAATTGGACACTTACCTTTGAATTCCTTTGCTTATATAAAGGTGTAACTTTAGGCATATCATTTGAATGTCACTTGGAATTCTCCACTCATTATCACATAAAAATAATAAACTAAAAATGTTTTTTATGAGGTAATTAGGGGATAAAGTGCCTTTTCAGGTCACTGTACAAATGTTAGCTGTTATATCTAATATTAGTTAATGAACTATAAAAGAATACTTTCCTTGGAGATATGTTCATTCATTAATGTGTTCATTACATCAGTGCTTATTGATGACTAACTCTATTCTGAATGCACTGAGAAAAGACACAAGTACTATTCATTTCTCTTTACTAAATTTTGGTGAAACTGTTATCATTGTGACCTCACAGTGGATACTTCTTTATAGCTATACAATACATGTCATTGCAACTATTCCTTTACTTTTTTACTACGATTCCCAGCATGCAGTCAAACTAGTTATCATCTTAAATCCTTTGCTAAAAGTTCCTCACTGTCTTGTGAAAAATCGTTTTTCATTTCTTTTCTGTTAAATTTTATTCATTTTAAATATCAATCACAGTTGCCTCTCCCTCCCCTCCTCACTCTCCCCCCACCTCCCTGTCCCACCTTCTACCCACTCCTCAGATTGGGTAAGGCCTCCCATGGGGATTCAACTAAGCCTGGAATATCCAAGTGAGACAGGATCAAGTCTCTCCGCACTGTATCAAGGTTGAGAAAGGTATCTCACCATAGGGAATGGGCTCCAAAGAGCCAGTTTATGCACCAGGGTTAGGTCCTGGTCCCACACCAGGGGTCCCAGAAACAGACCAAGCTACACAACTGTCACCCACGTTAAGAGGGCCTTGTGACTATTACTTATACATATAAAAAGCAATTTTATTTACATTACAATATAAGTCAAGAAAATTAAAAACATTCCATGGAAATCAGATATATTTAACTTATGCTTGCATAATAATGTTTACTATTTAAAGATAACTCACTAAGAAGTAGGACAAAATCTATCATGCAGAGCCCCAAGACCTTTCTATAAATCTGATACATCTGTTCCAATCCAGGCACTGAAAAGATCAAAGGATAAAACTCAATGGACCTGAGCAGTTCAAAACTCAGATTCCCAAATGCTTAAGTTACTTGAAGTATGTGAATGGTATATGTGACTAGTCATAAACATGTGACATAAACAAAAAAACTGGTATATGTGACAAGTCATTGCTGGACGTCAGTGCCCTCTTTCACTGTGGGGAAACCCAGAGATATTGCTGGGTTGGGAGGGTCATATAGAACACAATTCATATTCCCCCTGGGCAGGTAGAAGGATTGGGCACCCCTGTTTTTGTCATTTGTTTCAGCAATGGGCCAGCAAGCACTAGGGCAAACTGCCAATAGCAGTTCAGTTTACATTCCATGTTTAAGCAGAAGCTGTGAGGACTGCCCTACCTTGATGGTCAATAATAAACTTCCTGATGGCTCCCAATTATGGGGATCACACCAGTGGATCAGACAGACCAGGGCTAAGAGGGTGGATGAGTGATGAGTGAAGTAATGCCATGGTGATGTCCTGTTTGACACGATGGAAAAGGCCACACTTGCGAGCTCAATCCCCATTTACTTTGTATTCTAGGATAGAGGTCAGGAAGACTATATCCCACCTGCCTATACAGCTGTGGTGTGTTGAAAGACCCCTGGACTTAAAGTAAGAAGATCTGGGTTTGAGTCTCAGTCTGTCACTTATTTTTCTGTGTGACCTTGGGCAAGTCACTTCACTGATCTGAATTTCAATTGACTTCTTTGTCCGTGGGAACATAGTATCCGTCTCATGGGGTTGCTGTGAGAAGTCAGTGAGATCGTGCATGTGGAAAGAACTTTTTGGATGGTATGGTTCCGAGGCACAGTGGGGACCAGAATATGACTCTGTTATCTTTTTCAGGTATACGTCCAATGGCTTAAGAAGTCAACAAAATGCGTCAATAAATATGCAACTGCCTTCAAGAGAAACAAACCCCTATTTTAATAGCTTGGATCAAAAGGACCTGGTGGGCTATTCATCCCCAAGGGCCAACTCTGTGCCCATCATCCCTTCGATGGGTCTAGAAGAAACCTGCATGCAAATGCCAGGGATTTCTGAAGTCAAAAGCATTAAATGGTGCAAAAACTCCTACTCTGCTGACATTGTCAATGCGAGTATTCCAGTCAGCGATCGTCTTCTAGAAGAGCAACAGGAAGTGAAGATATTACTAGAGACTGTGCAGGAACAGATCCGTATTCTGACTGATGCCAGACGGTCAGAAGACTATGAACTGGCCAGCGTGGAAACTGAGGACAGTGCGAGCGAAAACACAGCCTTTCTTCCCCTAAGTCCCACGGCCAAATCAGAACGAGAGGCACAATTTGTCTTAAGAAATGAAATTCAAAGAGACTCTGTGTTAACCAAGTGACTTGAGATGTAGGAATCTGTGTGTTCTCTGCTTTGCTCAACAGGAAAGAGAGGAAATTAAATACAAATTATTTATATGCATTAATTTAAGAGCATCTACTTAGAAAAAAAAAACCAAATAGTCTGCCGCCCTCATATCATAGTGTTTTTTAACAAAATATTTTTTTAAAGGGAAAGAAATGTTTTAGGAAGGATAAAGCTTGCCATTAAAGCTTTTAGGGAGGATTCTGAATCCAATTCTAGTTAGTCCCAACACTGTCCTCTTTGGCTCATGGAAGATTTGGCCAATTCCAACCTCTGGCCTCATAGTGCCAGTGTCTGTATGGAAAAGAAACTGGTTTTTGCCTAGCTTCAAAGAGATGAGCTGTATCCCAAGGGTGGATGTGCCAGTGGGTAGGTAGCCCTAGCCATTTGGCTCTTGAGTTCCAACCCCTAAATTTCTATTCATCAATGCTCTCACCACAGTTTATGTCATGTCAAGGAATGTAGTGCTTTGTATTTGATTTGTAAAGAATGGCAGGAAAGCATGAACAGGAAGGAAGATGGAAAATAGGAGTAAACTGGACGATCTTAGCTCCCCACATGTGCCATCTTTCTTTGTAATTTGAAAGCACAGAACCTCAGAGGAAGGTGTGAAATTATGATAGAAAAAGAGACAAAAAATTGACAATGATGTGCTACTAAAATCATGCTAATAGTAATGTTTTTCTTGGAGAGTATTTAGAAGGTCTGAAAGGACACCTTTCAGTGTGTGTGTGTGTGTGTGTGTGTGTGTGTGTGTGTGTGTGTGTGTGTGTACCTGTGTGCACAGGTGTGAGCGTGTGAGTGTGTGGGCTTGCTCACCCAAGCACATATGCTGTATGCACATGTGTTCCTTGTATGTATGCGTGTGCATGTGTGTGAATATTAAAGCTTGCTAAAATTTATTCTGAAACATCAGGGAATCTTACATTAAAAGAAAATTTCCCTCTTAGATCTTTTCACTTTAAAATTTTCCATTAAATATAAATTTGGTTAGTGAGTTCTTGAACCAAGGTAACTTGCATGGAGGGGTCTTATAAAAACTCTCGACAATGTCTAGACCATTTTTTGATGTGAATACTATTGAAAAGGGCAGTCTTTGGCTTATTGATATCAGTACCACAAAGAAAATTAATGGAGGAGTGTTTATTTTGAATCATTTACTTTAATTACTGACACAAGCCACTTATCAATTTAACAGTTGACTACTTTATTTCTTGTCATCTTCATTGCTGTTTTACAGTAAGTCTGCTCTGTAGAGCACTGGCTTCTCCGGTTAACATGGAAGGAAGAAATTGTTGAAAATCACAAATCCCAGACTATTCAGTTCACAAGCAATGCCCCCAAACAGTAAATTGTGTTGTATGTTCATTTGGAATAAAGCAATATTTTTACCACTGCTAAGGTGAACTGAAAACCTCCTGAAGATGTGTCTGTTTTATTTTCCCTTATTTTCATGGGGCATTCAAGGAAAGTAGTGTTCACATACCCAGTCTTTATCTGATTATTGGTGGTGTTGTTATGTTTACACTGTTTAAATAAAAAGGCACAGTATTTGAAAGTACATAAAAGATTGCTTTTACTGTAGTTTGGGGAAAACTTGGTTAAAAATTCAAAGTCTGGTCTCAGACAGAGAAACCATATAAGTCTTACTCGAGGTAAGTTATTTCTACTAAATACATTGCAAGTTTTTATCTATGAATGTTCATTGATAATGGACAGAATGCCATCTAGGGGGAAAAAGCATTGAAAAACAAATCAAAGCTGCTTAATAGGAATTTGAGGTCTTGTATGTTGAAAACACATTGATGGAAACCTACGTTTTATCTGAAAAAAGTTTTGTGGCGTCATTAGTTGCCATTATAGTTTGGTTGTTTTGAACAGAGCAGTAACATTGTTAGTGTCTTCAAACAGAACAGATTTTAATGTCTTCTCACTCAACTTTGTTTAAACTGGAGAATATTTTCTACTTAAGAAAATCATAGATGGTAATTACAGGTCTATAAAACCCTGAAAGTTGAGCATTCCTTGGAGCATTAAGCTGTTATTTGCCCCAAGTATCAAACAACTGTGAGGTCATGCTGGTCTATTGAGGTCAACTTTGTTTATCTTGTTTTTAATTTGTTTTTTGTATGTTTTGATTTTTCCTTAAAATGTTACCTATCAATAATATAAATGATCCATTCATCTACCTAGGAAGGCAGGTATTCTGAGAAACTGAAGTTATTTTAATGTATCATTTATACCAAAATATAAGGTCAATGAAACAAATCTCAATTCAACATGTTATTTAAATAAAGGAAGGATTTCATACAATATGATTATTCTGCAAAACCTTTCCTCACATTCTGAAGACAAGGAGTAACAGGCACATCTACTGGCCATGTTATGGAAAGTTTACAGTTATTGCTACTTTTTGAACACTTAAGACAAACTCCTCCATAGAAACAGGTATGTGTGCTAGTTTCTATGGCCTTTGTCTCCTTTGGAACAGGAAGCATTCTTACAAAACATCTAAGCTCAAAGGGCACATCTTAGGTCATCAACTGACAAGTGCCAAGTTCAGACAGTACTGAGACTTTCTACATTTACTTGACCTGGTAGATATGTGGAACCATCGTTGCTTTTTTTTCTTCAAGCTCATGTGCTTATAAGGACATGATAATTTCTACATCATGCCATTTAATTTGCTTCTTTTCTCTTGTCTTTATTATGAAGACAGATATTTGGATATTTATAATTAAATAAGTTCCATATTCATCACTATCTGGAGACTGAATAGTATTCATTACTTTTTGATTTAAGTCATTTCCTTGTATATATTTTTTAAAATATTCAACACCTTTAAATTACTGGTCGCTATTGTGGAATGCTGTTGTTCAAAGTATGATCAATCAATCATATGTTACTAAAGTAGAGTAGAAACTATGTAGGAGAGTCAGTGTCTGGGTTTGTTTTCCTGCTATGTATATTGAACACTATCTTTCAGACTCTACCCCAGTATCTTACCTTACTATAAATGAAGGTCAATTCATAACACATCCAATGATTCACATCACTTTTTTAAGTATCAAGGAAAGAGACATAGAACAATGTTGCTCTCAGGACTTCACAAAGTAGTTAGATAACACACACGCCGAAAAGAGTAGAGGTCCATATAGACTTCAGAATACCACCACCCAGTTGTAAGATGAAGAAGAACTACAATTTTAGAAGGGCCCTGGTGCCCAACGTTGAGGCTGCCAGTAACCAGATCTCCACCGGAATACATTCAACACTTCCTGCCATCGCCAAAACCCTATCTTTTCACATGGTGCTATAGGAAATGAGTCCTAATGTGTGTGTGAGCATGTGGGGTGATCTTCAATTCCAGCCCTGTGAACCTGAATTAAGTGCTAAGACACTTTTATCAATTGAATATATAGTATACTTAGGAACACAGCAGGTAGGGAGGGATTTTTATTTGATCTTTTGGTATCTGGGAAACATTTTATATATATAAACAATACTTTTTATTGTTATTCAATTGTATAACATCACTACAGTGTTTTCAATGGACACCATGTCTATGCTGTTTGTATCTTACTTTCAGAAATTCAGTCCTCATTCCAAGCAAGACCAGTTTAAGATTTCTAAGCTGATTTCAATTTTGTAAAGTCTCAAAACACCCTGGGAAAAGCTTTCTGATGAGCTTTATCTCTTCCCCTTTCATTCTTTCCTGTCTAAAGAAATTCTGAGGGTAAAGGAAGACATTCCCATTTTAAAATTTACTCATGTGTTTCCTACTGTGAATACACCCACAATATAGATAAAAATGAATATTAAGTTGGAATGATTATTTGGGTATTCCTTCCTTTGCTTCATTTGATAAATAACAAGTGATTACCTCATGGAGTGCCATGAAAGCTTCATGGCAAATCAAATGGCAATGTTTTGTGAGACAGACACTTTCAATTCCTTCTCTTTCTTAGTCAAACTGGAATAACCTTGGGTCAGATAATTCAAAAATCCAGCACTAAATATATTAGACTCTTGCTTAAAAACAACAATTAAATGACATGTATAAGTGATTACTGTTTTTAAAGTGCATAATGATCACAAATGTGTTTTTTTTAAAGTAGACTTCTTTAAATGATTTTAAATGATTTTGACCTGTCATAAAGCTGAACTCTAGGAAGGGCAGAGTGTGTGGATGTGGCAAAGAGGTCTATGCAGTTATATCAGGCACCTCAGTGAAATCAATAACAGAATGACCACATGGACTTGGTAAAACAGAGAGCAAGCTTCCTTTGATGATTGTTTGTCATGAATACTTGTATTGATTGCACATGTATTATGGCCAAATGAACAAACTGTGTAAAAAGAAGCAAGCTTGTATTGTTGGAAATAAGTTAGACATATATCTTTGTGAAAGCTTCTAACTTACAGGCAAGATTGGCTGCTTGACCTCTTCTGTTCCATAAGGTATATGGTCTATGTCATCTTTTTTTTTCTTTCCAGTCAACCACCTTGTTATATATTCACTCTAATTCAGATTTTGACTTATCAATTTATATACTCATTTAACACTATTCTCTAAGTAGTCCATTTCTATAGATCTCTCCCAGAAAGTCTTACAAAAGTTGGAACCTATATATCAATCTCTGAATAAGACTGGCATTTGTACACATGCCATGGAGCAATAGGATTTTTGTTATGGTTATATTTCAGATAAATTTACTGAGCTCAGATGATGAAAAAAAGATAACCAAGAAATACCTGATTATAAACCTTGAGACTCAAAGGTCAAACTTTGCTTCATGTTTGTTCTAAAGGAAATGTGAGAGCTTATCAAAAACAGAGCAGTCTCTCTACAGCAAGTGTGAGACCTTGACTATGTCCTTTAGTTACAGAAATAGTAGTCAGACTCATTTGGTACAAAAAGTAAAAGATATATAGACATACTTAGATAGGTAGATATATAGATGCTCTCAAGTATTTGCATCTCAAGTTTCTTGTTAATTTGTCTTGAGAAAGGGCCCTGCCATGTAGCTCAGGCTATCAGTGAGCACACAATCTCCCTCCCTCAACTTACTGAACTTGATTATAGGTGTTTGCTACTACAGCTTGTACAACTCAAACTTTTTAACATTAATACTCCAAGATTGATTGAATTCTCAATTGAAACTTAGATATTAAAGTTCAAAATTATCCAACTTTGAGGGCACTGAAAAGCATTGTGTACTTATTGGCTTTTGTTTATAATTGCTGTTTTGACAAATCAATACCAATATGCTTCTTCAGTACCATCCAGACTAGCACTGATTCCTCTATTTATAATTTGTTTTGGTCAAGATCCCATAAAGTCTGATTTTTTTCATATTCAATAAACAAATGTGAAATGTTAAAATATTTGAATCAAAGTCTTTCCATTTTAGTTGTGTTGTGATTTCAGATTATAAGGATTCTATGAAGTAGTTTGTAAAATCAGACTATGGTGAACCCCACATTCTTTGGATTTGATTTTGATATATTTAGAAGTCTGATGCACAATGGAGACAACTGCAATGTATCCTAAACCTAAGGTATATTTTTTACAGTAAACAAATTTAAGGGCTTACAAAACTACATGCACACATAGCACCAACCTGTATTAAATATTAGTCACATGACAAACCTTGGATTCGGTATACCTTATTAAGAAATGCATCCAGCAAAATTGTGTATTGGTTTACTTTGATTTTTATCACAAGGATCGTTACCTCCTGTTGAGTGGTATCTTTTTCAACAAAAATATAGACAACTGATATGTTCACAGAGAACACATAAATTCTTACCCTAAAAAATTGCCATGTATTCATGCATGGTCATTGCATGTGTACAATAATAATTAGAAGGATATTCCTTGGCTCATGTTTTCCAGAAATATGCAATTGTGCATGTTAAGTTAAACAATTCTCTAAACTGGGGTCAAGAGTTAAATCATAAACAGAAGAGTACAAAAATATTCATTTGTCATTTTAAACATTTATTCAAAATCAATGCATTTTTTTTCTGTGATAATATTTTTCACTGAAGAGTGTTCATGCATCTCTTCTTTCTTATATTAAAAGAGCAACAACTCATATGGAATCAAATGATAGACCAGATATACATCTTTCATCTTTCAGTAAAGTTTATCTCTATTACCTCTCGCTTTTTATGAGTGCAGATCTACTCTGCTGAATATTACAATCTTACACATGAATTTCATAATCAACTTGCATTGTTACTTCATCAGATTCATTTTTATCTGGTGGGAAACATTGGCCACCACCAGCTCATGTGAGTTCCTTAGGATCCTTTGTTGCACCAAGACATTCAGATTCTTTTAGGTTGTGTTTTTCCTGTATGTGTCTCATTTAGCTTTTCTTTGTTAAGTGGGGGGGTTTTCAAGTAAAAGACCAATGCTGTTTTCCTCATTTTTATTGTATTATTGAGGAATAAGCTAGGAACCTTTCAAATGTAAATGACAAGGTTTGTCACAGCCCCTGTTGGGACTAAGAGACCTGCTTTAGCCCCTACCCAGGGTTCCAAAGATGAAAT